TATATATACATATATATGATGTGTCATATGATATATATCAATTGATGTGTGTGGTTCATATATGATATATGATATATGCATATTATATATATATTTCCGGATCATATATGTGTGTGTCATATATATATAATATATAATATCACTAATATATATATATCATATATATCCCTGGTCTCGATTACAACGTTTCATGACTGTTATACAACCGTACTTATTGTATTTGATGTTGGTATATCAGGGCAAATGTGTCATTTGTTTTAATGAAAATACATATGCTGACACTCCGTTTTAACGAACTCACTATACCACGTTGTATTACTATAGTGTGTATTTATTTGTGTATGAGGATGTTATAACCATACGTCGCTCTTTTGTAGACAACAACACTTCCCATTCATTGCCACTAAGGTCATACACATACCATAGACACGTAATGTCATATTGTGACTATATAACGCCAGTTATTTTTTTACTTACACGGTAAGACTGAGCCGCGTTACTCGAGTCGGTCCATATACGTAAAATAAATTCCCTTCTCTACGAGTGGAGGTCATAGGAGACCAGAGATAATCCCTATTTCACTCAGGAAGTGGAGAGGTAAGATTTGTGGGTAACTTTTTCATGTAAAATGACAACGACATCACGTCGAGTAATTATATAGACATAGTACTATGAAGTAAAGACCAGGTTCATTGACATGTTCATGAACTCTCTTGTTTTACCGGCGACCAGGGTAATCAAGTAATTTGATGGTATGCGTCGAAGACCGCGTCTCGGGAATCAGAACTTTAATACACTACCGAGTTAAATTGGACCCCATGACTTAAGTCACCATACTATAGCGTCACATCGAAGAGTACCGGTACGCATTCAAGATATTGGAGTAATTTAATTACCTCTATAAAAACCTACAATAAGCTCGTTACGTCCACTTTGTCAACCGGGTCGTCTTACGTTCGTGTCGCTGTGTCTATATTAAATTATTTCTACATTGAACGCAACCTCTATATACTTATAAACGATCGGAAGGAGAAACCGATGACTTGTTTTAGTATATTGTTACTGGATGTTTGTAAGTGTGGACTTTTGGTTATAAGTGTGTGTGTTCTGTTATATATATATATATATATATATATATATATATATACTGTTAATGTATACATTTGTAGTTAATACTTTTCTATTTTTACCTATTGTATATTTTCATGTTTATTTATATATTTTCTTCAGATAAGACAATACGTCCCATAACATCTCTGTTGACCAATCACAACAGAACGGGCCAGCTATCCGATCATAGCAGACAAGAAGAAAAACCTTGTTTGATTATTTGCACATGTTAGGTGCTTGGTGTCAACATGTTGCTTTGGTATGAATGTTGCCTAGCAAAATACATGTAAGGCCAAGCGCAAATACTTTTACCTTGTTGGCTTTTATGTATGCATGTAACATTGTAGTGCTTTGAATACTGATTGGTAAATGATTGGATAGGATTCTAATATGCTGTAATTAAATTGACCTCCATAGTTACTCAGATAATTTTCTCACAAACTCAAATATGTTTTTACATTTCAGGTGATTTAAGTGAATTAAAGGTTTGATTCCAGCATCAACTATGCAAGATAACAAGCAGAGTATAACATGCTGTTTGAAATGATCAAAGTACATGGCACATTTAAAAATAGCAAAGGACCTGGCTTAATTAAAGATTCCTTTCCAAAATGATGAGCTGTTTCCTGTGAAATAATGTGGCATGACTGCACTTAACAGTCATTAATTCACTAAATTAAAGTAATTTACTCTACAGACAAGAACCATCTGCTCTTTAAAATGTTATGGTTCACAAGATGGAAGAATACATTTTGGAAACGCGGCTATAGTTGCCTTTAGTTTAATGTATTTCCACCTGTACCACCTGCAATAGTCCTGAAAAAAAAGTGTGGGAGAGAAACTCCACCTGGCATGCATTTGGGGAAAGCCAATAACGCATAATGGGACTCCTTTTAAGTGATTTAAAAAACAAGTTGTTGTTCTTATTCCTAAATTACATCATAGCTATCCATACAAGCAGATGTACCACAGACTGGAAAAACAACAAATATAAAACCATTTGCATTAGTTGGGAACAAATAGGAATCTTAAAACCCTGTTATTTCATTGTTCCAATAGACATTATTACGTTTTTTCCTCGAACTAAGAGGTAGACAGCAGTTTTTTAAGATCCGGGAAGTTGCCAATGTTTGCAATCATTCTAGTAATGCTGGAAAATTTTAAAGTTGCAATATATATTCAAAGATACAAAATATATATTGTTTGAACAACATGTTTTACCATGACCTGTTTCTATAATAGCAACATGAAGCATATTATTTTGAAGCTCAGAAATGGAAGAAAAAGTCAAAAATACCTTTTGGATATTATATAATAACTATTCCTCTTTTTCTTCCACATATAGAGTGTGGTGGGATTTTTTGTAATGCCTACTTCATGGCCTAATGAGGACATTCCTGTTTCACCTTATGCCTGCAGGGCCTGCCAGTTAGTGCAGCATGTGGGGGTGTCTTGCTTAAGGATACCTCCTCAATAATGGATGCACCTTGGTCCAGCACAGGCCTCTCGTTTTGCAATATGACCTTACTTACCAGTAGTTTATGGCTGGTGCAATTGAATTGGCTTATTCCTGATAACCAAGTTAAACCCTTTACCAGGAAGGCTGCATTGGAAATTTTTCCTATTAACAATGTTCTGTGCTGTTGAACTTGAGTGAATAGAAATCAAGAATCCAAAAACGGATTTTGTCTGATGTATCCTGGAAAATAAAGTACAAGCATATATCTCATTCTTGAGGTACATTTTATTTGAAAATGTACCCCAGGCCAGAAATTCATGTATTCATTGTTTTGTTTGTACTTGTTGCCATAAGTATATAGTAATTTCCATGTAGAATAGGAATGTATGTAAATTCGCTGAACACTTCTGTTGAGAGGCATTTGTTCCCCACAATAACCCTGGACATCTAGAATGTTTTATACTGTTTTGAGTCCAAATTATTACCATTTGTAAATTAATTATGAGGCGACAAATTGACCCATGCTCTGTCAATACAATACACAAAATGTTTGTACTACATGTGCTTCCAGTTGCAGTATTTGGCAAATAAACAAACCATAGCCTCGTAAAAAAAACATGATGTTGTTGCAATGGAGTTTCTCTTTTCCACACAGATCACGTAATAAATCTGCCGTGCAGAAGGTGATTAATCATGCAGGCAAGTTGTGGAACAGTAAACTTAGTTAGAGCATTATTCATGAACACAAACTTATTTTTCAACCAAGTTTGCAGACAAACTCTGAAACATCCTTGTGATTTATTAACAAACATCGTTCTAAAATTTGATTGCGAAAGAAAATGTCATGTGCCAGAAAAAGAGCCATCCACTTGCTTGGGCTCACTTTTTTCCAGCATGTGTCACATGTTGCTTTTGAGCCACCTCATTAGACCGTATAGGTGGAGAGGCTGTCATGGCTGAGATGTGAAGTGCACACTGCAGGACATCATTTCTGCTTGTGTTGGCACCTCTTCACTCTGACCGACACCCATTTTGGGTTGTCATGGTGTGGAGTTGGAAGCTCTGCGAGTGCCATGCTGACCCTTAGCGCTGTCAGATCTCAGCTGATGCCTGCCAGTTGCTTCGGGGTACGTCCATGCCTGTAAATGCTGTAAGAATGCCTGCAAGAGATAACAATCTGATTGATTGGCATACATTTATGTCTGGTCTCACACCAACGACTCCCAAAGTGTTCCAGCCTATTAGCTTTAGTTAAGAGTGATTTCCTTGGAGACATGGTGAAAACGCTGCTTTTTGGCAAGCGAGAAGCGATGTCAAATGACTCAATTAATCAATTCCAATGCCAAATTGACAGCATTTAGAGTATGTTGTTTTATCATAGCTCTCCTGCTGTTTCCCATTACATTTACATTCACACCTTGAAATGTAACTTGAATCCCAATTATAGG